TTGACGTGGGTACAGAAACATATGGAAACTCAACTAATCCCGTCCGCAGTGCATGATGTACTGGGTCTGCTGATCTGTTTACAACTGCTGTATGCCATGTTAAGACGAGCCAAGGAACGTAGCGTACCTGTTTTGTATAAGTAAGCTCATCTATTGGTAAGATGATCCAATTTCGCTAGGCTTGTTGCAAGTTTGTTTCAGTTTCAGTTTGAACCATCGATCTCTTTCGTTTTTTTTGCTTGCCTATTTGGATAGAGTAGAAAAGAGACTGAAATCTTTTACAGCAGTGTGTAGAGGAATCGAGTATTCATTGAGAAATTCATCAAAGTTAGAGCAATTGAAACGTGATCTGAAACGCTAGGAAGCGCCGTACATCTGTTTCGACCTAGTTGGGTCACATCAATAGTGCGAATCCATCGAGCCAACTGAAGATCGAACCCGGGACTTCATAGGCAGAACGCAAGCATGCTACGCACTTCGCCACCAGGCAGCTGCTTAGACTGTTTTCCACTTTTCATTTACACGATATAAGACAACCCACCTTTGGGAGCTTTTTGAAGGCATCGCTTATCTTAACACTGGTTTCATGTATCAAGTAATCAGGAGGTAGTCAAAACCCCGAAGCCTAGGGCTGCGATGATCGAGCACGATGCTGTGTCGTGTAAAGGGAAAACAAATAGCGGTCTGAGCAACTGCTCAGTGGCCGAACGAGTGACACGCTTGCGTTCTATCTGTGAGGTACCGTTTTCGATCCCCGGTTGTGTCGATTGATTCGCGCTGCTTATGACACCCAAAGGGTTTCGAAACAGTTGTGTAGTGCTTCCTAGCTTTTCGTTTTACACTTCGGTTACTCCCTGTACAACGAATTCCCATTTATGGAATTGAATCAAATTCCTCAATACTCATGCAATTCATGTAAACTGTGGTAACGAACACAGTGAGTAAATGCACACGTTCCACTGTTTAAGATACTTACAGTGTCACTCAGTGTTTTTAACCTTGTGGTAAGCCTATCCTGGAATCCTCACTTAAGGAACCTAACGCGATCTATATAGCCGAGAATCCTGATGAGGGTCTTCATACCTTCCTGTCGGGTTTTAGTTTGACCACCGTTTATATCTTTTCATCCATCATCTTCCTCGGCAAAAATAGCACTTATTTAGTGACATGCGTGATATGCTCCAACTTATTTAGTCTATGAAAGTCGACCACGTAGATGAACCTGATTGTTTTAAACTGTGCGCTAGACGTTGGTATTGTGTCATAGTTGATCGTCAATGGGTTTTCGCTTTGATCGATATTAGGGGATACACCGTTAATGGTCCCCATGTGGCGTTCGATGGGCCGGTGATGACACCAACGATATTCTAAAGTGAAGTTCCTCGCTACTGGGGCCGTCTGCCGATCACGGGTTCGGTAACAGTCCTAAGTCAAATTTTTAATACTGAAAACCATCCATTTAAGCCTATTAAATAAACATTTTTTCACAATCGGGGGTAGTGCTGGTGGGCTCGGTGAAAGTTCGCTTGATTTGTGCACTCCACTCTGAAGTGCCATAATGGTTCATTTACCGCACTGCGACATGGTGATCGCGGCTCGCCGCTAAACAAGGCCACTGCTCCTGTCGATTTATCTCCCAATTGTGATATTAGAGCAAAAGGAAGTCACTATACCAGTAATTTAGCGGCATTTTCTAGGTGATCGGTTCGCATCTTCGTGTTTAATGATAATTTCTTTTGCGTCCATATCCGTGAGAACGAAATTGAGCAAACAGAAGCATTACCGGTCCGAAGCTCGACGTTTTGCTTATTCTGCAAATGAAGCGCGTATTTCGACGTATGTCAAAGGGTACGGGAAGCGGTCTGGTCATTATTTTTTCCCTTTCACCACACGCTGTTGTGGGACGAGGAAGAAAAGGGGTGAAACCCAGACATATGAATGTATTCAATGTGTCCACAGATTTTGGACGGACCTCACCGAGTCACTGTGGGTTCGCGTCAGCGATCGATTGGATGCGCACATTGCTTCCCTGCAGAACGATTTTGATATATCCACGTTTGTGAACGGAATGCGGGGGTTGACCACAGGCACTGGACTGACAAGCGGCGGTGGAAGTTTACCCGCACGTGCTTACGCGTTGATCCGGCCACATCCTATTGCTCGACGCTATGCGGAACTCGCGGCAAGTCTGCATTCAATTGGACATGCATTCCCCGGCAGTGAGTTTGTAGTGCGTATGCTTTCAAAATATTTTATTAGTCTTCGTAGTTTTACCTGCCCGTTGCAGGCTAAGATGTAGCATTCGAATTGCTATGCCATTATTTACAGATAACTGATTATTAGTTATTACTGTTGCACTTTCGCGTTAACTGTGCTAATCCCGGTGTGATTGAAACAATGTATATATATATAT